AAGCGTGCTCTCGATAAATTTTAATAACGAAAACTGCCACGATTCTAAATTAATGATCAGACGCCTACCAGAATTCTACCATTGGTACCTTTATTTTGTTAAACCAGTTTGTTGATTTTTCCCTGTCACGACCCTAACACTCGGTTATGCATTTTTAAAAAATTGTTCTGACAATCGCATGGTACCATCAAAGCCTCTAAAATGAGAAAAAAAAGGAGAGGAAAAAAAAAATTATCAAGCTGATGAAAAAGAGTGAATTCTCATTGGCCCGTTCCCTCGACATCTCCTGACTGTTTGACGTTCGCCCTAACTCCCCTTTTTCCCCTTGAGAATCGACTAGTTGAGGTGCGATTCCACTAAAAAAAAGGCCAATGTACACCAAATGAAATAGGAATGAGAGGATGAAGAGTACAAGAAGGTGGGTCGTTTCGCTCGTTTGCGGCCACTCATTCTGGTTGTTTTCAAGAGACCAAAAATTTACACAGCCCACTCGTTCCCCGGATCGATAAGGGTCTACGGTCGCGTGGCTTTAATCGCCTCAACGCGCGAGAGAACGCGGTGGTCCGATAACGTTGAGATAATAAAAGCCCACTGAATGATGACCAATATTACGGATAATAATTGTAATACTGTAAAACATAACGCCTGAGCATTCCCCAAGGTAATGAGTTTATTCTACCAACCTACACTAAGAAAAAAAAATTTATTCGCCAAGAATATTTACTGCCCACAAGAAAATATATTTGCAATTAATATATCTTGTGAAAGTATTTATACAGTGATTGCCAGACATAAGGCTTACTTATATCACATCTTGAAGGGACATTAAAAGAAATTAAATTCTTCCCAAATGCTTTTTTAAAATAACAGTCTCTCTAGAAATAAGATTTCTTCTCTTAGTGCATTTTTTTCATAATATTCCTACATTTTTTCCATCTAATAGACTAAATAAATAATTCTGCAGCGTCAAAGAATTTCCACCCTCATTTTCCATCATGAAAAAATATTTAATACGCAAATTTCCAACATGAAATAGCACCTGAGGGTAAAAACGAGTGTCACAAATGATTCTCGACCCTTCGTAATCAGAAAAGGGGTCACAGTAGGGGTAAAAAAAAACCCAATATCCTGCATGATTTTTCATTTTTAGTGTTGCGAGTTATGACGATACCTCGATTTCAAATTGAACCAACTCTCAACCGTAGTCTAATCCTCAGTACCGTAATTGTCCGCCTCCTCTCTCCCACCCTCCGCCTCGATTTCTCTATCTTCCCCTCAAACTTCCCTCGGATATAATTTTCAAGGGAGAGATCGGGGTCCCGAGGTCACAGACACCTCTAATGCTCACCCTCATTTTCAAAATGACTTCACCGAGAAAAAAGCCGAGGAAACATCACGTGACAACTCAAGGATGAATTTTCTACATTGTGAAATATAAAATTTCAACCCTGAAATATTTCCTCTCAAGATTTCAGACCGTTCTTTAAAAATTCAAATGGCATTAAAATTATTTCCCTACTTCAAAAAATTTCCTCATCAAAAAATCAATGCCTTTTGGTTATTAATGCCATTACTTCCAAAAAATAGCTAGAAAGGTTTCTGGAATTGTTTTATATTTATTTTTTTCGATGTAATAAAATGAATATAAAATTGAAAACCTAAAAACCGAATGGAAAACAATAATCCTCATAAAAAAAAAAGATTCAATATGAAAAATCGAGAATAAAAAAATGAGTTGAAAGGGGAACAATGGAAAAATACTGGATTAAAACCTGAAAATTGTAAGCACCCATGGAAAAATGCTGATTTGTGAAATTTTGAAATAAAAAGAATTCAACGAACGAACCCGCAGAGGAGTGTATTCTCTGGAGTTTCTCTGTGCTCTATTTTTTTTCTTCTCAATTCGATTATTTTCCCAGTAGCAATTACCGGAAGCTTTTCGAGATGAATTGAATGAGGGAGTAGATAGATATTTGTCCGAATGCTATTATCATCGAATTCAATGAGATCTGTTATTTTTTTTTATGGCATTGATCGATACGATTCTCGGGGATTACATTAGAACGTCATCGAAGCATGAATTAACGGCAGAGAATGATATTAACAAATAGGAATGCGTGTTTTTAATATTCTCTCTTCCCTTCATTACATTTCCCAGCGAATGAACATTAAACGGTATAAAGTAGAAAAAATGCTGCAGCAGTTCCCGTAAAAAGGGCTGTCGGTTCTAATTCCCAGAAAATTCTCGAGTTTCTTTCCTATAAAAAAAAAATATTGCCTCCAACTGCAAATTCCCATGCAACTCGGAAATAGAACAAATAAAATATCCTATTTGTAAGAATGAAATTGTAAAACGCAATACCAGAGTTTTCAAATGAAGATAGTTTTAAAAAGACAAGTTGCTCAATGCTGCGGAAACCATCGACTGGTATAATGAGAAACAGGCAAATTGAGAGAGATTGGAGATGCTTCATGGCGAAGAGGAAAAGCATTTCCGGTCGAACGACACGATTCTCTATTTCCCAGAGGCTTTGTATCGGCCAGATAGAAATCAATACGCAAAATAATTGATAAGATGGAAAATAACGTGAGTTGGGAAAAAAAATGTCCGACATTTAAACATCAATTCTCCTGATTTTATAATAAGAATAGTATCTGAATTATCAACGTGGTTTCAATTTCAGTTGAATTATCCTTATTTTTCAGAGAAAAAAACGATTAATTGTAAAAAAATGAAGACACTTTTCAGCCCCTTATAAAAAATATTCTATGGAGTCCAGGCAGGTCCTTTCATTCAAAAATTAAAAAAAAAAAGGTTTTGAAAAATATTCATATCAAGTAAATGGATTATCTCGTCGTCTCCCAGTTCTTCTACATCGAAATCGAGTCATTGTTTTCGCTATATACCACCCCTGTCTACATTTTAAAGGATTTTGCATAAACTCATCTTCGAAGATTGCTTACTCCAGGGGCCTTTGCCGAAGTAACTTTATACATCACCGTTGATGGAAACTATGCAACTTGGAACCACTCACAAGTTACAGGACATAAAGTAAATTACGAGATTTTGCCCCTACAATTGTACCTTACGTTCTAACAATTACAGTAACGAATCACCAAGTTTTCGATTTGCCCCTTGGAGACTATTCCAAATTGCAGTTAATTGCTGTTGTGAAGCCCCCTCCCCCTTCCCTATCATGAATAAAAATTTTCAACCAAAATTTGTAATTGCGGAATTGTTATCGAATTTTCAAATAGAAAAATTGAATTTCATAACATTTAATGCAACCATCGAACTCAGTGTAATTTTCGGAAAAAATTCCTTTTTTTTTTAAAGAGTCCATTTCAGGATTATGAACTCCAATTAGTGGTGAAAGAATTGAAAAGATCGAGTAAATGATCTCGCGGTTCCATTGAGACAAACTGAAATAAAAAATCTCTCCCCGAAACGCGTGAATGTCACTGCACATGCTCTGGCCGAGTGTAAATCCCCTCTAATTCCTCTTTTTTTCCATTAAACACTTCGTCCATCCCTTTCAATACCGTAAAAAAAACGGGACACGATGGATAGAACGAGAAAAAAAAACCCGAGATTTTTAATCCGACGCTCGAAAGCCGGTGAATTTCCCCAGTATCGCTGACAATGCAAACCCTTGAAAGCCATTTCACTGAAAGTGTAAACATCTCGAGGGGATTCCAAACAATTCTAAACATTGTCCCTATCGAACCATTTGAATTCTGAACGAATGAGCATGTCCACTTGTCAATAGAACCAAATAAATTGAGGATTTAATCCCTATCCACAGTTTATCAACACTTCAACTAATTCTGCAAAACAGCGAAACGTCAACAGTGAATATCTCACAATGAACAGTCTGCCTTTTGGGAATTCTCTTGTCACCGCCAACGTATTTTATCACGCCTCAAAATGACACCTAATCCACCAAAATAAGATAACCATCCCCCAAAATATCACCCCTAAAAGAAAGAAGTTTGGAGCAGTGAAATCCTACCTTCCACTGCTTCCTTCGCTTCTTCCACTTCCTTCCACAGACTCCTCGTTATCGTCTGATTTATCCGTCAGCTGGTCATCCTCTCTGATTTCTTAAGAACGATATCCTCGCCGACAACCACCCACAACTTCAATAAACTTCACAATCACCTGACAAATTCCCACTAACTCCGACACAACTCGCCATTGCGAGTACGCACTCTCCACGACAGAATAACTAAATAAATACCAGCGATAAACACGATTAAAAAAAAACTCCAATTAATCTCAGAGCACTCAATCTAATTAACCCACCCTCTGATTAAAAAATAAGCGGCAATTTTGCACACTCGCGTTATTTCACGGGAAATAAAATAAAACAACTACAGCTCTACGCAGCTACGCATAGCGCTGGCAAACGCTCCACGATCGCTACCCTAACTGCCGGCGTTGCTCTTTCAATTCAATTTTCAAACGTAAACCCATCGACGCAACCAATCCAGGACCAACTTCCCACTGCGCATGATACTCTACCCTCTTTACTTTTGTTTTATCATGAGAAATATCAACACGTAGTTGTAACCCGATAGTTCAATATGTAAATAAATTCCATCCCCATTTATTTGCAATGGCAAAATGAAAATAATCACGATTTTGTTATGCTTTTGCAAAGGTGCGATAAGCCTACCGGTGGTATTACCGACCTAGTAATTGAGAATGTAAATCCAAAAATCATAAATTATCCTATCATATCATTTTATGTAGTGTCTCGAAATACTATTTCTCCCAACTAAATGTCTGCAATAATAGTGTCGAAAAACTTTATAGGAAATCCCTAGTAAAATTACAGCCGCGATATCAGACCTCAATTCACCGGTATTTATTAATTGAACTCCAGATTACGCTTCATTACTTCATTTGTTCGTGGATTAATATTTTAAAAACGAGCAGAATTGTCCCCGACCTTTGCATGTTAATTTAAAATAATAAAAATATTGGAATCACTCACCGGTGTTGGATAAAAGCATCTCCATTTTCACCGCTCGTACCTCAGCAATTATCTCTGCAGTCGAATTCTCTGGAACATCCTGTGTCTCCTGTAGGCCACCTCTCAACACTTTAACACTTTTCACAAGCACTTTTCACTCCCCCACGATTTCTAAAACACAAACCCAAATTTATATCGAAAAAAAAGAATACAAAAACCCCCGCGACTCCTGGAACACATACTAAGCACCATCTTGTGTATACCCCACTAGACTGCAAACACTGAATTTCACTTTCGAATATCTCACAACCCCACAGCCCCAAACGAAACACTTTATACCGATTCTTATCACTCATCGTCACTGTCAGTACCAGTTTCAATTAATTAAATTTCACTAAACAGTAATGAAACTGTTAAAATCCAATTGTCTCTCCAGAAGAACAGAACGGGCTCCATCTTCTGGGCCCAACACAAATCAGTCCCACTGGCCCAGGCATGTCAGATGTCATAGTACCTTGTTTCTCATAACCCACCCTCTGACAGCCTGTTTTCCTTATAATCATCACACCCCATCCCCATCACTTCATAATTCCAACAGTCTCAGTTTTTTTTTGCACATTAATTGTTCTCAAAAAATTCATCAAGAGAATGTCCGCCATCTTGAATTCATGTTTGTTGCATTGAGCAATGGACAGAGGATTTTTTCTCTCTGATGTCCATGATTCACCAAGATCATTATCATTTGGGTCGTAAAAAGCCAAGTCGGCAATCACCGTTCATTATTTATGACGTTATTTACAATTATCTCGAGGATCATACCTTAATTACAGGCGGAATTATTCGGGAAACTCGAGGGACAATGCACGCGGAGTATCAATTGGTTCCCTGCTTGCTATTATTCTTATCGATTTCCCCTTTCGTTGTCACCGTTAGGTATCCAGGGTACTCTTTTCAGAACAATAGTAGCTGGTACTTCAATTAATCCAGAAATCCGGAGAAAGAACGCCAAAACTTGTAGTGGACATGATGTCCACACTGATGCACGAGAAACCAACGCCTTGGGCATTTTCTCATTTTAGTGCTTGTAATTCATCGAAATGATTACTATCTCCATTGTAAAAACGTTGGCAGAGGCTATGAGCCATGAAATATGCTTTTATTTGTGCTTTCTTTAAAATATTACCGTTATTTGAAGCGAAAATATACAGAGCAAACGCCAACGCGTCCTTTCTCGGGCGTGACCGACGCCATATTGCATGGCATGCGCAGACGGATGCGCGAGGGACTTGGCGCTCAATCAACGGGAGAAAAAAAAAAAGAAATCGGCAGCCACACTAATTTCTAATTCAAAAACAGTTTCTCATTGGTTATGTCATTATCAGATACGATTAAAAATTCGCCGGATGCAGTCGGCACTAATTATTCAGTTATAGAATAATTTTATTCTGAAATGGGTCGCAATTACTTCATAAATGGTATAATTTTCACTGGCTAGTACTATTTTGGCGGGTTTCTGATTTCAAGGGGACATTCTCCTATGACAAGTACTCACTGGCAGCTAAAATTTTTCAAAAGCATTGACTTTACTTGTGAGACACCACAAAATTTCTAGGTTTATTTACTACCTTGGCCCTTATGGTGTTAATTTGGAAAAAGAGGAACATGTGGAATTATGCAGGGAATATTTCAGTAATGATTTTTTTTTTGTTAATTATCTGATTTATATTATATTATACAAAAATGGATTTGTACAAAAAGATGTACATCTCAAATTAATCTATCCTTCCCCCGCATTTACAAAACACTCTTAGTAACTGTAAAATGAGCAAACATCGCGATAATCAAACTAAAATATAATTGTAGAGAATGAACACACTGGACTAACATTACAATGCTTGGTGGATCGTAAAAAAATTTGTTCACTGGAAAATGATTATGCTAGGAAAGGATCAAATAAACATTTCATAGTGGCACTAAAATCCAGAAGATTGAGACTCTGGAAATAATAACGAGCTGTCGAAAAGACTCGGGCAAGAAATATGTACAAAATAAATTCGTAACTCTTTCCTAATGATAATAAATTTGTTGAGCTACAAACTGACAACCTCATTCCATCACCAATCAGCTCGATTATTTGTACTCATTAGGCTTTTGTTCTTCTTCATAATTCGCTTGTGCTCGTTTTAATCGTGAGATCAACGAAACTCCATTCAATTAAGACTAATGAAATAGTTAGATTAATTGGGCAGCTAGACTCTCTTCCTGCTGAATTTTTTTCCTATAATTGTCTAGTGTCACTTGAATTGTTTTTTCGGAATATCGGCAGTTGAGAGCTCCGCAGGTACACGTGAACGATTTGCATTTGATGATCCAGAATTTCTCTCCATAATCAAATCTGTAATTCGAAAGAAACGATTACTTGTTTGGAATTTCGGTGGAATTCAGTGGGTCGATGAGATGAGGTGTAATCTTAAAGCTTGTGATTTCGTACGAAGTATTTAGTCATTCAATTTTCAACGTAAAAGTCTAAATCAGTGAACTGGCGGTTTTTCAATGGTTTATCTTGATTTCAAGTATTACAATCTGGAATAAATTACAAGTGGGAATCAATAGGAATTAATTTAATAAATTTGCAAATGACAAATAAGACATTTCTCATCCAATCGTACAAGAAATCATTGGCCAATATGAAGTTTTCATCCCATTTTGTCCTACCGTAATGAATATCTCATGAATTAATCGTCAATGATAATATAGTAGTGAAATGGTAAACTCGCCTTATCAAACTTAACGATTCCACTACTTTTTCTACACACTTATAATTCTCATGCTGAATTTATTTCTTTCCCTACACTGGAGACTCACCTGGAAATTGGCCCATGCCGTTTCAATAATTTTGAGGATACTAACATAATAATGATAATTTCAAAACGACAAAAAACTTTATTACCAATGTTATAAACGTACGAAGAACTAAATTGCAACTGGTGTGAAACTAATTAATGCAAAGAATTGAAAAAAATTACATTCTCAAATGATAACAAAACAAAATTTCGATGACATGAATGAATAATATCCTTAATCCAGTTAATGAAAGCATCCAGAATGTAATTACCCAAGCTCTTCATCGGCGGCAATATCACGATTAGCGAAAAATGCTATTCTTGGAAAATGCAGATCTTGGTGTTCCACAAAAACACGAACAGGAAGTAGATTTGGTGCACAGGAATGATTGATAAAACGTGCAATATTTCCATATCTCCTGGCATCGATACAATAGGTTTCACCATCCTGCATAATTAAAGAAAAATTAAAAGAATTCTAAGGAGAAAGGATTTGCAGTGATATCGGCGAAAAATAGGCTCACCCTGTTGTCGAGATCGAATAGATAGGAGTCGTCCTCCCGGTGATCAGCTTCGGAATCGGAAATAATTTCGCCAATGTATTCACAAACGTAAGCACCCTTGGATATGGGTCTGAGGGTTTTCAAGCCCCAGCCCTTTCCCTTCGTTCTGAATAATTGGAATCTCTGGGTCAAACCGTGCTGAACAACACGATTGTTACACGTGATTCGGTTGCAATCACATGCCTGATTGCATTCAAATAACATTGGCGGATCTGTAATTAGGAATGCAGTGATGTAAATTTTATAATCTATCAAGAATAAATCAAAAGAATTTCAGTTTAATATTCAATAGTTCCATTCAAACTAATTTCGTGTGTTTTTTTCTACTTCTCCTTCAAGAATAGATTTTACGTGCAATTGAAAAACAAGGGAGAATTTTTAAGAAAAAAAATCGAAGATTCGAATATCTCTGAATTCAGTCCGAAATTGGTCATCGTTATTTAGAAATTTATGTTTTTTAATTTACCTGAATAATTAAACTCTGGTATAAGCTTCCCCTCCTCATCATACCAACACCTAAGACTAATATTCCCACAGAGGCATTTTTCAGAGTTGCAATTGTCCTCACATCGACAAGATTGCAAGGACGTAATAGTCCTGTCCACCTGAATATTACTCGTAAAGCAGTTTTCAGTGACATAAAGAAAATCAGTGGGCTTGTCCTCAGAATCGAAACCGTTGACACACTGTATTGGATTAGTCTCCTTTCCCCTGGATATGTCATTCGTGAGAATTCTTGTGGTTTTCTCCCACATGTGTTCAGACAATTCATTGACCTTGGCATTTAACCTTAGAGCTGCCAGGGTGTCTCCATCACTCGTGCAACAGTTAACCGCTGTTTCACCAGCTGCATTCACCTCAGTTACTTTAGCACCTCGTGCCAGCAAAAGAACACTCACTGCGTACTGATCCTGTCGTGCTGCAATGTGGAGGGGCGTGTCACCATGAACATTCACAGCATTAACATCACAGCCTTCGTTCAGAAGGATTTCAGTTATTTCGGAACTACCACTGAATGCACTCCAGTGGAGGGCTATATTCTGTTCCGTATCACGTATCAGTGGATCACATTTTTTTTCTAACAAAAAACGAGCCACATCAATGTGGCAGAATTCAGACGCCCAGATGAGACAAGTCCAACCACCATCATCTACAGAATCTGAAAATCATGACAATTCGTGTGAAAACGTCTAGTTGCATCTAGAAAAACTGTTGATTTCATGAGGAAATATAAAAATGCCCTGTTCCACTGACCTACTAATGTTTTGGGGACTTTGCACTCTGACAGAATGATCTTGCAGGCCTCGAGGTGCCCTGACTTGGCAGCTCGATGGAGAGCAGTCATTCCGGCCTCTCCCTTCAATGTAACATCAGCCCCAACTCGCACCAAATATCTCACGATCTCAGTCTTTCCCTCAGTAGCTGCCAACATCAGAGGTGTCAGCTGATTCTTATCCATGACGTCTAGCTGCGCTCCTCCTTGCACTAGGATATTTACACAACCCAGGTGGCCCCGCTCTGCAGCAATGTGAAGGCTAGTTCGTTGAGAGTATTCACGAAACGTGTGATTTGCATTATAACCGCAACCTGGAATCATCAGAAACAGTATATTAATTCAGAAGTGAAGTTCGAAAGCAAGATCAGTCCACTTATAAAATATCCTAAGGTTGAGAAATATTTCATGAAAGTCTACATAGTACCTAAATCGAACTTACTAAGCACATTCACCAATTTCTCCAAATCCCCATTCTTGACAGCCTGATAAAGACTCATAACAGTGTATCGTTCAGGTCTTTCAGAGTTGATGGTAGGCTCTGGAATTTTAATATCCTCTGGACTGACCAGCGGACTGGGCGGTCTTTCAGCGAGTTTAGTGTTGTCCCCCTTGCCTGGAAGACTCATCTTGGCAGAAGGTAATTTCGAGAATTTCTTCCTTGACGGTATGTAGACGGGTTTTCTGCTACCAGTCATGGTAATAATGACATTGAAATTTGAGGTATCATTGGCACAGTGAGGACATACAGGCTTTTTATTGAGAAAAACCTCGCAGTCGAGGTGGTACTGATGTCCATTATTGCATTGGATAAATTTCCCCTGCGTACAGAAGAGACCACAGGAGGGACAGCAGTTGTGACGCAGAAGACGCTCTTTGTGAGAACGACAGAGAATTATAAAAGGTACTCGAGTGCTGGGACGTCTCATGGCAACATCATTGCTGTCAACTTCGTTGCAGCACCCAATCAATCGATTATCAATCGAATCAATTGCTGTACAGTACAAGGGTGCCCCTGACCCTGTTATCGTAACGTACAATTGTGATCTCACTTGGCAGAGGCAGAGCATTGACTTCTCGTAGGTTTCACTGAGTATTGCTGTAGATTCTGGCTTTGATGCTTGTCCTTCAGCTGGGCTTGGACTTGGGGCCATACTGCGGCGAGTTCTTTTTGTTGGAACATTGGATTCTGAAATTGAAAAATTAATTTTCACTTTTCACATTTACGTTATTAGGACAGGCTGGAGCAAAACCGACACTTCGAAATTTTATATACTTCTCCGTCTAGTGAAATAACAACAGAAAAAATTAAGCTTCAAAAATGCAATCATTTCCCACAGATTCATTCATTCATCGAAACCTCGTTTATTCACTAAATCGACTCGATGCTGAAATTATTCCTGATGTATGAATATTTTTTAAAAGTCAGTCTGTTAACCTGTCCTATAACTCAGTCATAATGATTTAAACAATTCGCCATACAAATTCTAACGAAATGAATAATTAAATTTGAATAATATATAATAAATTTTACTCTGAAAATTGACTACCTTCTGGATAATCATTATTCTTCCCCGCCTCAGCAGCCTCAGATCCATCCTCAAATCCTTCAACCTTCAGCAATCGCCTCCCCCCTGGCCCATTTCTCCCCCTTCCCCTGTCCCTCCTATTCTTCCCAGTAACAGGTCGCAAAAAAGGTTTATCATTCTTCACCAAAGTCTCCTCTTTGCCTAATTTGTCCTGATTCTTCACCATGGGCGATAATTTGGGCATGCCTTCGAACTCCCCAGAGGCCCTGGACTTGGTTTCATCCCCGGGACTAGCCCTAGCTTCTTCCAAGGAACCCCCATCAGCCTGACTGTTACCAAGATCATTCACCAAGCTCTCAGCCTTGCCCTCACTGCCTTTGCTATCCCTCTTGCTGTCTCTTCCAGCACTGATCCTCTTGGGTCGTCCAGTAACAGGTTTCACCGACTTCTTTGTGACTTTATTGTCAGTGTAATTGGACTTCTCCTTCCTGGCCATTGCGCTCTCGAGGACACTGAACTGTTCCTTACAGGATCGTCTAGCTGACCTTTTGGGACAAGGGGAATCTGTACTGAGTGCCCTCTGCCTGCTGGCATATTTCCGTTTCCTGGTGACGGGTGTCTCTTTCACCTCCACAGACTTCTCCGAGTCCTCCTCACCAGGAACAACCTCTACCTCCTCCTGCACAGGAGCCTCCAAGCTCTCCTCAATTCCCCCATCAACAACAGCCTTAACCTCTTCACCACTTTTCACCTCTTCCCCATCAGATTTGTCGCCCTCCTGTTCTTCCGAATGTTCAATCTTCACAGAGACTCCCCCAATCTGATCACTATTCACCAGCTCATCTGTCACAAGACTGAGACTAGGTCCACAACTTGATATTTTTGTTTTCCTCCCATCATCGGTGGTTTCATCGATTGTTCTAAAGGTCAGGACAATCCTGGGGACATTACCATCCTTTTTCTGCCCCTCCTGTCTGAGGACCTCGTTAGCATCTTTGGGAGAATCACTATGGGCTTCCAGGGATTCCTCGGGACCCTCATCCCTGCCCTCACCCTCCATCACTGCTGTATACACAACATCACCATTTTCCAGGGATGTGCTTCCCTCGGGCTCGGCAAACTCACCGATTTTATCGGAATCGTTTTCTTCACTGCACTTTGATACACTCTTGTTGAACTCATTGGTCATTCCCTCGAGGATCTGCTCGATGCTCAATTTGTCTGGTACCACCGTTATCTCTTCGTCTTCATCGGCAAGTTCTTCACCTGAAATTCTTCCTGCTTCCTTCATTGTGTCTCCAGACATGGCGTCCAGAAAAATAAATGATAAAATGTTGGGTTATCAAGTGCCCATGGGGTGAGAATGGTGCATCACAGGGGTGCCTTCACTTCCGGGAGCACGAATGATGATGGTGAAAACAGATCGGCTGGTCCTAGGGGCAACTCTTCGGCGTAACAACCAAAAACACGTCTTGCGCACGATGTTTTTGATGTTTGTGAATTAATTGTACGCCTTTGGGAGGATTTATTGAGTTATTGGGGGCACGTCAGTGGAATTAGAGGGACGAGGTGATCTATTGGGGGATTGGGAATGTTTTATCAACACTTTTACTTGAGAAACCTCACTTCAATGCGTGCCCCGCGAACGACTGGAGGCCATATTGATTACTCAGGGACGGGCCGATCCAAGCGGTGCATTTTTATTTTTCGAGCCCAGCGATATCGACACCCTTATCGTTATCCTTCGATTTTATGGTTTTTTCACATTATCCGCAGTTTGGAGAAATTTTTACGATCGATTAAAGACTGTTTAAGTAAAAAATCAGGATATTACGGAGTTTTTCATGGCGCCGCTTTTGTTTCTTGCAGTTTTTTTGCACGAATAGATCGGATACGTCCTTCAATAGTAAAGATTATCTTTCATTTTGATACGGCCCGCTCCAGTGGGACAACTTCCATGATTTTTTTTTGGAATTTCAAAGAGGGTGGGTGAGGTGAGTGACGTGGCACAATGTCGGGGCTCTTTTCTTCCTGGAGTCTTATCTTGGGACTCTATTTCGGTATTCGTTTTATTTTCGGGAAGGGGAGAGAGGCGCAGTTCATTCGGGATGTAATGATTGGAAAAACGCTTCAGGCAGATGTATCTTATTTTTTGGATTCAAGAAAGAGAAATTTTTTTTTAATTAAGCCTTTAGTTTTAGTTTTCTTCCCTCGAAATAGTATGAGTTCGTAGGTGAATAATGAAGCTTCCATTTGAACAGTATTTGACGGTAGGCTTCATATAATTTGCAAGGGTAATGTATTATTCAAATTCCTAACGTACTACATTTTAATCTCAACTTTCAACTGTTAAAAAATCTGGGAATAAACTACAACAGTTTTTTCATACATCAACTATAAACCCTGAATTAATGTCCTAAAGTTAATTTTTCGGAATTTCTAATAAATAGCCAGCTCCCAGCTGAAAAATCGAACTTGTTAAGTAGGAGGAAATAAAGAAAACTACAGGATTTGGAAAATAATTTTAAAAAAAGGATTTCATCCGTATAAATATAAGTTTATTTACAATACAACAGATCCCTCTGTCAAATAAGCGACGAAAGTTATTGTTCGTGTTCCTTTTTCATTCTCGATGCTGTTTTAAATGTAGGTCATGCGCGTGTCGGTTATTCTTCGAACGTGATGTTCAATGAATGAAGTAGTGATTAAAACTAATAATTACAACGACCTGCTCCTCTCAAACAATTTACAATCAACGTCTCCAGGATCCAGAGACTTGCATGATTAGGGCCTCGAATGACTTGTGCATTACCTCCAACCGATTCTCTCACTCCACAGGTTCTTTAGTGAATTCAGGATCGATCGAACGCTTGTCGTACAAAAAATTTACGTCTAAATATGTTCACATTGCGGGAAAACTCTGGTTATCTAGAAAGATTTTTTCTTCTTTGACGTTGCAGTTAGAGAAAAAAAGTTTCTACATTTGACAAAATTTATTCTTGATTCTGGAATTTTTTTTCCTAAAACTTCTCAGTTCTAGAAACTTATTTTCTAATATTAGGAAATTTTTGACTCCCTGTGGTCTGAAAAAGATACAGAAGCCACAGACATTCGAGTTTTTCAAATAGAAAAGTAGCAATACAAACGGCAATATTCACTCTAGACGAAATACGTGACTGAACAATCGTAGGAGCATACATCCTCACTGTTTCCATAGTTCAACGTTCAGCTTCTGACAAAAAAGCCACACAAACTGCTCTCAAACTTTGCTATATTTTTTTCCTCTTCGTTGAGTACTTTTTCCACAAGCGATATAAAAAGTTGAGCACTGCGTTTTATACAAATACACATTAATACAAGAGGCTTATATATCGATAAAATTTCCTTCACACTTGAAGTTTGCAAAAAAGGCCTGTGAGTTTTTATCGTTCAGTATCAAAGTGGCAACAGACAATTTGATTAACTACTGAATTTTCTCCTCATTAACCCAGCAGTGAAGTTTTCTGTAAATATCTGTGACTCGAAGAGAGATAGGTGAAACTTTTCTAAATCTTAATTTATGTCATAAGGCCAGAAAACCTTTTTTCTAACTCTCATTGATCTACCCTACAACAAAAGCCCTGAGAAAAATTTTGCTATCTTTCTTAGTTTCAGAGATATCCCTTAAAACCTCGACTAGAAAACAAGACCAGGATAACAAGTCGATTTAGCTAATAAGTACATTTTTGTGAAATATCCCAACAGCTAAAAGAGATAATGCAATTTGTGATGAAACGTTCTTTGTAGCACAAATTTTGCTCAACAAAAGGAGCCATGAAAAATTACACTAGTCCTCTTAGACACGGAGATATTCCTCGAAAATTCGACGAAAGAACAAGTAGACTTGTTACCCTCTACCTTTTCGCTACAGAATCTTTAAAATCTTCGCATCTCTCGAAATTTCTTCAACCTATGCGTGCAAAAAATTTCTATTATCACGAACGGTCCTCCAGGTGAACCATTGATCGTTCCTTGTGCTACGTTTTTTTGGTTTTACACTGCAGAGTAGTGCGCCACAGGTGAAGCTCGTCTTTGGATCGTCATCGTAATCCGTGTATTTACTTACAGTCTCTGGAGCGTTGGTAACGCATGGCACCAGGATTGATGGTGGATTGGTGATGATAACATTAACGTTAACATTGACGTTGGGTTATGGGGGCGGAGGCTTTCGTTGGGGCTCGGGAGTGTAAAGGAGTCGAGCTCGAAAGTACTGGGGACTTCCTGGCACTGAGATACTTTCGGAAAGTCGTCGAGGTGGTGGCTGTGGTGGCGAGGGAGACACGTACCTAGAATAAAATGATTTCGAGGGTTTACCAGTGATTAGAGGCAGTAATATTCAGTTTCAAATATTCATTTCATTAAATTTCTTGGTAATTGGAGTGTCTTTCAATTAATTTGGATTAAAAAATTGAAATATGTTGCAGACGGTGAACTAGGTGAGTTCAATTTTTTTTAGGTGTTTCTAGACAAAATTTTGAAATTGAAGGCAAAAAAAAAGCTCCTGGTTCACTACTTTAAAACAGAAAATTCATTGTACCTTCGTGGAAATGAAGGTGAAGCCTGTTCCGGCAGATTCCTTCGCATAGCAAGTGGTGATTCCCCACGACTAAGCCTGGGTGGTGGCTCAGGTGATGCTGAACGATCTCCTCCCAGTCTCAGCCTAACATATGATGCAAATCTCTTCTTCGCTGATTCCTTCGATGGAGGCGGTGGAGTTTGCGAGGCAACTGTTGTATTATTTTCTTGTTTCGACTGATTCGTGAAACGAGAAATAAATAGTTGGGGACTCGTTGTCCCGTGAGAGCTAGGCGGTGGTGGCTCAGAGGGAAACCTTCAACATCAGACCGATATGAATTTCAATTCGGAGGTGGTAATCCCGAGTTATGGGGACCATAAATTATGATTTCGAACGTGTTTTTGCTGTGAAATAAATCTGCGCCTCTGAAATTAATTCTAAGAAAACTTGAATTTAACTTTAAAATTACATAATTTTGAAATAACGTAGGACATTATTATCTCCTTTCCGGAAATGCGATTTAAAAAACAAGGAAATAAAAAAAATATCGAGATTACGCAGGAGAGATAATCAAACACGAAATAATTGTCTACAATTATATATATGAACGAGCGGTGAATTTACAGATTACATATGATACTGCAGTAAAACTTCAAATTGCAAGTATTGGATAATATTTTCGCTGGCCTTCCCCGAGACCCTAGGCACTACTAACTTTCTCTGAGACAGTATAAGTAAATGAATGAATAATTAAATAAATAAGTACAGATGACAATTCAAATAAAAAACCCTCACTGTATAACAAAATGAATTACCTCTTACGACTCATCATAGGACTTGCATAAATCTCATGTGCAGGTGGATGTGTTTGTGGCGGATGATAGTACCTCGGCTGTACAAAGGGTGAATATCTCCCAGTCTCCAATGGCTGAACAACCCCAGGTGGATCAACATTTTCCCGTCTCCAAGGTGAATAATCCCTGGAGAAAGGGCTGAGAGATCGTGGGGCACTCCCCCAACGATCGCTCCCCTCCTCAAATCGTGCAAAATAAGGCGAATAAGGTCTCGATTCCAAGCTCTGTCCATTAGAGCATCTCCCCTCAGTGCGATAAGGCGAAAAGGACCTCTCCTGCTCGCCACTTGGTGGTGAAAAAGGCCTCGTCATCATCTCCCTCCTCCTGAGTGCATAGGGACTGTAGGGCACATAGGTACCATTTTCAGTGGCTCGTTGATTGTACGTAACTGTGGAAATTGGCTCTTTGGTCTTAGTCCTGAGTAATCCACCCTCCTGATTCCTCATGTGGGCTGTTGTCTTCAACGATACGTGGCCCGAGCCCCCAATAGACCTGAAACTGAAGCCCAAAAAATTATCAATTCCTCATCCCATCCAATTAATCCAAGACACTGACGTAATCCTGCTAGAGACCTGCTTTGAGTTGTTAATGAAAGTTAGAGAATTAGTACATTTACAAATAATTTTTCTCTTCGGCATGCACCAGGGAGAGACAGGAAAATCCTCAGTAACGAATTTAAATAAGCAATGACAAGAGCACAGACAAATGAACGACACTACGATAGAAATGACCATTTTTGTAAATAAATAAAAAAGAATGCTTACCATGAGTGGGGGGTCGTAGGGTGGGATGTGTAACAGGCACGTGCACAAACCAAACAACTCGAAATGAAAATCGGGCAGACTTTGGGATTTTATGTGTGTGTGTATTTTTTTTGTTTTTTTTTTGTTTTTTCTTTTATTACTTTGAATATTTGCGTTTTTTTTTTATCGTGAGGGACGTCTTGGTGGGTTTTGTGTGGTCAGGGGCGAGGGTGGGGTGGCTACGCTGCACTGCCTCCCTCATGCTCAACGCTGCAACACAATTCAACACGCACGCAAACGTTTAAGTAGGGGCATCAATAGGATTCATCTTGATGGATATTTGAAAATAAATAAATTTTCAATTATTAACATTGATGAGTGTGATGAGGTCCTAACTAAACACCCACTCGATGTTTACGACACAAATTCTACCAATGACTTTTCTACTGAATAAAAATATATAAAATCTGGATAATTGTTTATCTGAATGGTCTGCGGGGTCTCTCAAGGGACACCTGTTATGCTTTACCAAACCAGATATCAGATAATTACTTTATTAGTTGGGAATCTCATGCCGAATTAAATAAAAATAATTCTATGTTTGAATAATGGACAAATCCTTTACTTGATGACTAACTAGATACCACGAATCGAGAATAATCATGAACATTGAGAAAAGAATAATTGCTGTTGCCAAGCATTCATTTATGCAGGATTTTGGATTTTTTGAAATTCTAGATAATGTTCCTCCATATTTTTAATTTTGACAATTTCTGATTTATGGAATTCAATTATTAAAATACTGTAGAATTACTAGAGTAAGTGAATATTTCGCAAAATAATTCTTTTCCTCAGTGAACAAATGCAGGAATTGTTTATGAAATAGAGTGAACTCACCTTGGCTCGAGCTGTCGCATTACGCTGTCGAACCATTGGCATCCAGACATTGACAGGCCATTGGCATTTTCCCCTGAATGAGTATCGTATTTTTTAATAAACGGGTGCTCCATAAGTTTGGGGTACTTAGGCCGATGTTTATAGTTTTTCGTTAGACAGGAGTTGACGAACGATCGAAACTCCCTCGAAAAATGAGTGTCTGGAGGGAGGACAGGTGGATCGTCTTGAACTACCCTGCTCAAAACCTATTCAAATGGAAAGACCAGTTGAAGAAAGACTCTTGGGAAACAATTCGTGTTTTTTCAGACCCATAGAGTATTAATTAATTTCAATTCACCTCAAAATCAGTCTTGCAGTCTCGATAGGGAAAAACTCCAGTAGCCAATTCCACGAGAGTTATACCCAAACTCCACACGTCTGCTCTTATATCGTAATCTGGTTTCGTTGGATCTGGGGGGTCTATTCTTTCGGGCTAAAAATAATGACGGCATTGAATTAAGGATATCCCCGCCGTTTTAATATTTCTTTCATATTATTGAAACGTTCTATTAATTCAAAATCACAAGTCAAAATTAAATTGCTGATAATTTCGACAATATTATCATTTAAAAATATTTGAATATTAGTGAATAGATTATCTAGAAAAATCTATTGATAATTTTTTGGAGGCTGTCATACCTCTACAAAAGTGTTACCAAAAAAAAATCGTCATCGTTCTGAGATTTAAAAACATCCCGGGAAAGTAAGATAAGAAGCAAGTAGAGTTATTGGACTTTCTGCAGAAATTTTCTATCCAAATTTTTCACGATAATAAATACCCACCGCCATGTACGCTGCACAGCCAGCACTCCTGGTCTTGGCCTTGCTATCGACAAGCCTCCCAGAGATACCAAAGTCACACAACTTGACTCCCCCCATCTCATCCAGCAGAATATTACTAGGCTTAACATCCCTATGAATAACCCCATGTTTCTCCTTCAGGTACGAGAGTGCCTTCACAGTAGCTACAGTAACTTTCCCTAAAAAATCCTCAGGTATAGACTGCCTGAGCCTCTTCAGCAGCTTGTCCAAACAGGTTGCCATGAGTTCCATACAAATCCACACATCCGACTCGGTAATAAAGCACCCGAGGCATTGTACAATATAGGGACAATCATGTGACTTCAACACAACATCGAGATCCATGATAATCCTCTTGTTCTCCTCGGCATTGCCAGAGCGTCTCATCTGCTTGACAGCAATGACAACACCACTCGGTTTGTGCCTCATCTTGACAACATGCCCACAGGTGCCATTGCCAAGCTCTCCGAGATGCTCCAGATCCTTCATCTCGGTCTGATACTTCATACCATTGATATTGAGAATCCCATTCATTTTCATAATTTCCTGAAGTTTGGATTCTACCTCGCTGTCGTGTGGCTTTGGTGGCAACATCTGTGACACTGGCAGATCCAGCTGTCTCCTGGGCCTTGTCGGCGTCCCCATGTCACCAACTGCCACCAGATAAAATAGATAAATGTGAAATACGACATCCAAACGCCAAATACCCCACAAAAATGCAAAAAACAGATGTTGTATTATTTTTTAGCTCCCGAGATATTAATGAAAAAAAAAAATTTACATACTAATTTAAATTTTCTCAATCAAAATGCAAATTATGTGATAACACAAGGGCTATATTTCCACGAAATTTCGATCTCTTATCTTCATTTTTTCTAAGTTAAAGTGAAAGTGACAGCTTAACGGGAAATTAAAAATAAAAAAAAATTCCATCCCCATTATCTCAGAACTTTTATATGAAAGATAAGAAAAGATAAAATGGGTTCAGTTATTTTGGCGATAACGAAATATGCCCACCAAATAATCGAAGATCTCATGAACTATTGCACTGTATTTTAATATGAATGAGTTCCCGTATGATCAAACTATCCCCCTAGGCCATCCGAAACTTCCTACAAAAATCATCTCGCCACATTTCATGACAATTTCTGTTATGTCCAGAGAATAACTAAAGAGTGTCAAACTCCAACAAATTGTCATCAGTCATCTGATCAAAAGCCAATGAAATATTGACATTCCAAGTGTTGTTTGTAAAAACGCAATAGGATAAGACTATTGTTAGATTCCAGGAGGCTAAAGGGGACGAATCAGGTTGGATACCTCAGAGAGTCAACATAACCTGTCCCCTAGCTCGAAAAATCATCCCCTTCTCATCGAGGGACAGGTAAATCCACATTAAATGGTTAAATCTACGACTGTACTCACGCCTCTGTGGCCTTCGAACGATGGGACTGGACATGGGTGCCGACGAAGATGGTTGCACTTGGTTGTTAGTCCCAGGAACATCATTAATCTGTCTATCCCTCTCCATCGATTCCTTCTCCGCCCTGAGACGTTCCTGCAAATTCAGTATCTTGTTCTCCAGTGCACTCGACATTGTTGTTTTTCCCACTCTCACGTTTCCACACTATTTAATTCCCTTTCAATTTTCCATTGAATTCTATCTGACAATTGGAGCAATATATAAACGATAAATCACAACAGAACGATGTGATAATGAATGAACGATTGATCTTGCTAATTCATGGATTTTTTCACGTTTAATAAATAAGTTTTGAAATATATTTTCACATCACTCCTGTTGTCTGTGGTGTTCCCCAGTCTGTGCCCTTTTTGGCAGCAGTAAAACACGTATGTACACATATACATGGCACACATACTGATGAGCACTGCCAAGAAGTCAAGTGGTAGAAAGAGAAAAAAGAAGTGGGTAGTGTCGCGTGTGGGGGGATAGCCCATGCGCCGATTATTTCGCGCAGTCTAGCCACGCAACACATGCTCTCTCTTACTTACATTTTTTTATTTTTTTTTATACAGAAAAAAAAAACGAAAATTCATAGTAAAATTGGCCCTCGCGCCTTTCGAGGAATTTTTTGATCCTCCAATTTTTACTCCCTTGCAGTCAAAATCCCATGAACCTAGTGAACATTCTTTTGTAAAACACCATTTCTTTGAGGAATTTTTCAAACTCAAATGATGTGACTTTTTAATGATAGGGTAAAATCTATTCAGAGCCAATACCATTACGAAACGTTCGCGATTTTCTGTAAATTTTTCTCTTTGCATCGGACGTGTGACGGTTTGACAAAATGTTTTTCTAGGAAAAAGCGAAAATTATTTCGAAATCGGGAGAGTCGAGGCCAACCAGAGGTGTTGGGCATCCGAGTTTCACCTGGAAACCAGCCAGCAGCCGAATATGGATGTAACATAGCGTGGTAGCACTTGTTGGGTGCATTTTTTATTGCTTCAGGTGATCGGAAATTTGAGGACAACATTGTAGGTTGTTTCTCTGTATCTTTTGGTTTATCTAATTAGGAGTTTAAAAAAATCCTGACGTGAAATGTTGGTGAGTCGAAGATATTGATCGACGAATTCAGAACTCGAAATGCGTCATAGAATAGTAATTTTTTAGAAGAACTCGGAAATAATTTATATAAGAGAAATTAGGGATGAGCAGATTCTACTGAAGCTGTAATTTCCGCAAGTTAATCCAATCATATCCATTTTTGTTTTTTATTACTTGCGATTCGTGAGCGCCCTGGATATTATGAATTAAATTGTGCAAGCAGATTTACAGGAATCCCCCACGATAGCCTTCGGCCAGACGCGATCAGAAGACTTTTTATAATTGAGTTTGCTTGTCTACCCCGTAAACCCAATCTCCTTAATGGACATTTAATGGACATTTTTAATTATATTATATAATTTTTCGAATAAAAATTACTCATTTCTGAATGTTTGCTTGCTTTGCAATATACAGAGATGAAGCTGAACTCGTGTGCACTTAGGAGATCTTCATGAATAACTCACCGAAAAATCAGGATTTCTTGTTTCTTGAATCATTAATCATTATGAACTATATTTTTTGGTAGCAAACTCACGCAATTTAGTTATCTCACAAATTGGGTTCCTCACACTGAGTTGTGACACCTGTGTGAACAAATTGTGGAGGCTCATGACTCATGCCACTACAGGAATTATAGGAAAAGTATCCCACCTCCTCTACAGCCTTAGACATTTAATTTTTTGCGTTGGTCGGGTGAATTGACACATCACTGCATTTTTCCTCCTTTCGAAAAAATCGAAAAGGCAGAAAAAAAACCTGCGGAAAGACCGGAAAAGTTTTTCAATTTCGCATTTTAAGAATTCAAAGTTAAATTAATCGTTTTTAAATAAATGTTTTTTTCAGATAAATCGACATTTACGTGAAGTGTAATGAAAATAAAATGTCTCTGGGGTTGAAATAATTCAAACAACAGCCGAAAAATTTCAATATAAACTGCTTTAATCTGCACACTGATCTGAGGACTTTACAAAAGTCCGTCAAATGCAATCTGATAAAATTCCAACACTCCTGACGGTATACAAAATTCCAGTTTCACCAATTCCCCACAGTATTCCCTCAATTTCAGATACTAAAGACCAAGTTAACGGGTCATTGAAGGACAGCAGCGTTGGCAGCAATACTAGGATTATTGATGACCTCCCCGAGACTCTCAAGCAGCTCTTTCCTGTAGTCGTCGAAGTCCCCATCAATTTCGTTGATCACCTGGTTCTCGATTACGTGGAGACAGCACTCGGTGTCCCTGATGAGTCTCTCGTCGTGGGAGACGATGATGACGCCACCCTTGTAGGCATTTATCGCCTCAGCGAGGGCGTCAATAGACTCAATGTCGAGGTTATTCGTCGGTTCGTCAAGGATAACGACGTCTGGGGCATTCAGGCAGAGCTCAGCCAGGGCTACTCGAGCCTTCTGTCCACCCGACAAATCCTTCATTTTAATTGTGTGCGCGTGGGAACTCAGACCAAATGTTCCCAGCTGCTTCCGAGCTTTCTCATAGGGCAAGTCGAAGAGGCGCATCAGGTACTCCGATGGAGTTTCTTCGGCAGTGAGATGTTCACCTGAATGTTGGTCGAATCTTCCGATTCTCTGGAAGAAAATGAATTCGGAATTTTTTTTAAATAAAGGATATTCAATGTTATTCGAATTATTGTCCGCGAAAATTTTGGAATATTTTGTATCTTTTCTACGTACCAACCGATGATTTCGTATTAAATCTCCTTTGAGAGGAGTCAGTTCTCCCAGAAGAAGTTTCAAAAACGTTGACTTGCCCACCCCATTGGGCCCGACAATGGCAACACGTGAGCTCAAATCGATTCCAAAATCGACATCTATAAATAAAGGTTTTTGTCCTTCGTACGCAAATGTCACATCTGAAAAATAAATTCGGTAAAATGATTTTATCACGAAAACTCAATTTGCTACCCTTCAAACAGACTGAAAATCTTACTGTGAAGCCCAAGAATAGGAGGTTGCAAAGGTGGTGGATCCGGAAAGCTAAACTTCACGATATACTCTCGAGGTTTCTGTAATAATTCTTGTGGTCCAGTATCCTCCTCAGTCTTCTGCATTTTCGTACGATTCTTCTCCTGCTTCCTGGTGAGCGCCTCCTTCTGCTTCTTCTCAGCAGCTTTCTTGCTCTGCCCTGAGGCCTTAAGGTCCTTGATCCTTTTTTCTTGCTTCTCGTAGGCCTTTATCATCTCCTTCCTCTTCTGCTCGAACATCTTCTTGAACATGCTATAGTTACCTTTGTAGTAGAAGAGTTTCTGCTGATCCAAATGAATGATATCTGTGCAGACGTTGTCGAGGAAGCTCTGGTCGTGGGAAACTATCAATAGTGTCTTCTTCCAAGTCTGTAAGTAGTTGTCCAGCCAAATGACAGCATTCAGATCGAGGTGATTGGTAGGCTCATCCAGGAGGAGAAGAGTTGGCTCGAGAAACAGAGCCCTAGCCAGGGATACTCTCATTCTCCACCCTCCAGAGAAATTCTTGGTGGCTCGATTCTGCATGGATCTGCTGAAACCCAAACCTGCCAGAATCCTCCTCGCTCTGGGCTCTGCTGAGTCTGCCCCAATGGCCTTCAACTCCTCGTAAACCTCCTGGAGCTGCGCCTGAATTTCGTCATTAGTCGACTTTTCCGATTCCTCCTCCAGCTTTTTACATTTCTCCTGAAGGGCCACACATTTCACGTCGGCCTTCAGCACAACCTCCACGGCTGGCGTGTCGTCGGCCACGACTTCCTGCTCGCAGTACAGAATATCAATGCTTGGAGGAATGTTGAAGGCTCTTTTTTCTATGTGTCGAAGCAATGTTGTCTTACCATGACTGTAAATTAAATATATTTATACTGAAAAACTAATTTTTTTTAAAAATAACACTCATTTATTACTGTACACGTAGAAACTTGGAATTATTTAGACTGCATTTGAATAAAAATTTAATTAAATTCAACAGGGATAGTGCTATACAAGATATTTGGATACTATCCAGCTGTCAAACGAAATTAAATTTCCTGTGACCACTCATCCAGCGACAAACATATGTTCCCGAAAGAGAAAGATCTAAAAATGGAAAATAAAATCCTTCCTACCCATTAGGACCAACAAGACCATATCTCCTCCCCTGGGCGATGAGAAGGCTAGCATTGGTGAAGAGTTCCTTTCCTTTGGCAGCGATGCTAAAATTCTCCACCTTAATATCAACGGCATTGTCCAGGGTATGCTGGCCCCGAGTCTGTGTCTGACTCTGTGAAACCGTAAAATTCGACTCCAACTCACTGTGTCCCTGTCCTCCAGCCTTAGTCATCATCTCCATGGTGCGCTCATACTCCAGCTGCTTTTTCAGCTTTTTCTTCTCTTTATGGGTGAGTTTCTTGCCTGTTCCCTCGATCTCCAGGTTGGAGATCTCATTCGAAATTTCCTTCTCGTTGTCTGACATTTTTCACTATTTACACGAGTCTCCAGTCTTCCAGGTGGTGCACCACGAATCCTAGCCTGGTTGCCTGCACTCGTGCAATGTGCAGCATGGAGAGGATAGAAATCCGAGGAGTCGCCATCTTGTGGGTGTTATCGATCCCAGAGGGCGAGGATGTTCATGGATTATTCGCGAAAGCACCAAGAGAAGATATTTGACATTTCAATTCAAAATGCTAGGGATTGCGGACGCTGTCAAAAGACCTCTCAAAATACCCCCCAGATTCATTCCCTACATGGAAAAACATAGAATATATGAATTATTTCAGGTGAGTAATGGATACTCTACTGATTTTCCATCAAAATTTTATTGATCTAAATTTCTTGAATCTAAATTTTTATTGATTATCAGAAACTCATTCATTCATTTAAAATAAACCATCCATTAATCTATTTGATAGAATTCGAGTAATTTCTTATTAATAATGAATTTATTGGGATTACATGAACTTCATTAATAATAAAAAAGACATTTATTTCTTATAAGCGAAGTATCAAGAAAGGTAATTTGAATAAATAAATTATTCATCTGGATGTAGCATATTGGTTGGCAATAAAACGCGAAAAATGGGGCGTTTTATTGTATAATTTGTTGACTTTCTCATGAAAAATTACTGATACTGTCCCACTTAACTCCGAATTGCGATGGACACTGACAAATTGTGGTTCACATTTATGAATTTTCCTTCTATGGAAAGCGCCGAGTGAGCGAGTTTCGAGTGACTGCATATATTATGTTTTTCAGGAGATTGCGAGCCAATTAATAATTAAAAAGCCATCGGACCACATTCTTTACGTGAAGCAATGCTTGCAACACGCAGCTAGAAGTAGAGATGCACCGAGGATCATTCTCCTGTGTCCACTCGATTTCGGTCAATTGAATCAATTTGTTATGCATTATTTCTCCATTTTATAATCTCAACTATCCTATTCCGATGGCGTACAGATGGAAAATTGCTGGCTGAATATCTGGATTTGAAATTGGGGATAAAAGCTATAAGCTTGCAAGACGTGGATGCTTTCAATTCCAGCGAAGAATTCGCATCGAATGTTCGGAACATTTTGAGGAAATTATATTTCGAAGAATCTGGATGGTTATTTATTGGTAATACTGTCATATTCATTTATCAATAAATTAATCCTAAAAAAATGTTCAATAATTCGTTCGCTCGTCTGGAATTGAAGGATTAGAGAGCTGAATGCAAAAATTCACCGACAAAATAGAATTATTGACGATTAATTTCTTGATTTTATTCATTGGCACTTGAAGGAATTCAACCAAAACATTTGAAAATAGAAGGAGAGAAAATAATATTCGATGGTATTTCCTATTTCTAGTTGCCTTTCTAATAAATTCTAACGCATCCTCAATAGATTTTCCTAGAACAAAATCGGAAGCTCGTGCCCTGCAATCCGTCGGGATCCTCCCTACCCATGTAATCGAGATAACCTGGACAGATTTTCCGATAGAATCCTCGGCGTCCCCAAGTCAATATCCCTCCACAGCCTCCAGCCAAAATTCACATGATAATATTTTCCACAAAACCCTGGACATGCGCAATCTCCAGGACCTTCGTTCGGTCTACTCCTCGGTTCTAATTGTAATTATTCCAAATTTATGAATTTATCTCAAAGCCTATGCATTATAAGGCGAAAACCTTAAAGGATTTTTGCAGACGCTTAAATTCCCAATAAAAAATGTTTCTTGCTTTTTCCTTCTAAAATCAATAGCTGTTAAGATCAGGGCATTATTAAGCTGCATAAATTAAAAAAGTTCAGTGCCTGCTAAAGTGAGAAATGTAGAATTCCCAATTTTTCGTAATCACCAATTCGTGCTGAGGTCTTATCCTACAATTAATAGTTTCTGAGATAAATATTTTACAAAGTTATGAAATTGGGCTGTATAACTTCGCTGTTTAATTGCTGAGAATTGAATGGATTAATTAATTTCCCAGCAAGTAGAGACTGCGGGGAGAACGTACGAGGAACTCGGAAGAGCCTGCATTGCACTGGCTAGAAGAAGAAAGTGCTCGACGCCTTGTTATAATTTCCGGGTCGTTCTCATTGGTCCAAGAGGGTCAGGACGTCGATCCGTGGCTAAATATCTCTCCCAGAAGTATAATCTCGTGTACATTGATTTTGATTACCTATTGGCACAAACGAGACTGCAAGATAACGCATTTGGAATCACTTTGAGGTGTTTAAGTCGTTGGGGAATCAGAGAGAAATCAGATATAAAGATCAAAATTATTGAGGTAAAATTCTTTTTATTGCAATAATTACATCATCTTGATCTTATTGGAACATATAAACTTAAATAGTGCACATTTTTCTGTATCATGATGGCTGATTGACAAGATAGGGCTTCATTTAACTTAATCTATAAATTTTCTGTTATTCTATTATTTAATTATTCGACTCGAGGTAATTTTTATATTTTAGAATTCTCGTAATGATTGTAAGGAATGAAAGGCAATGATTTTCATGCATTAGTTTTACTTCCAAATTTATTTCTTTTAGTTTATAACTTTATTGGATTTTTAAATTTCTTCGAACGTTGGCAAGTGTTGATCAATTTTATTGATTTTATTCGACAAAAGTGTCGATTTCAAGTAATTTTCTTGTGATGTAAAAATGATATTCCCTTTGTTTCAGAATAAACTGATGGGCAGTGAGTGTTTGAAGAAGGGGTGGGTCTTGTTCGGATATCCGATTACCGTTGAGGACTTTAAACTTCTCGATTTACTCGCTACACCTCCAAACAGGTTCATCAAAGCTGATATTTTTATGAATGATGTCATGATTTTGCCGAATCCCTTTATTTCCCAGAATTATCTGTATCAATGTCGATGAGGCGACGTGCCAGGAGAGATTGTTCTCGAGGAAGTTCAATATTTACACTGGGAGTGAGCATAATTCCAGAAGAAGTGGGGAGGAAGCTGATGTGGAACTTGCCACCCATTTTGAGGATTGTGAAATTGTCGTCAATCACACTGTAAGGGATGCTTTTATGAGATTTATATATTCATTATATATTAGAACAATTTATTTTTCTACAGCGAATTGTTCAATTTTATATTGTCACTGTAAGAGGGCTGTATTTTGTCGCTAAAGTCGAAACGTTTCAATTTTCCTCTGAAATTTCACGGTCGTAAACTCCCTAAACCCCCGGTGTATTTTTTCCGACTCCTATAGTAATCAAATGCAAGAAAAAACTTTGGAAAATCGTGTCCCAGATTTGAATTATTGAGTACAAGGAATGTGTTTTATAAAAACATTCCGTTGGCAAAGTTCGTTAATATTCAATTTTATTCGCAAAAGCTGAGCAAATCGACGGTTAATAAATCACCCTAAATACTTGTTTGAAGCTCACAGAATACTTCGAAAATGTTACATCACTACTGAGGTATGCAGGTGAATCTGCGGTCCTGGTGGATGGTACGGTCAGTGAGAGGAGTGTAAAAGAAAAGGTGGAATCGTGCTTGAGCCGAGCTCCATCTGCCCCTCCTCGTATTCGAAAACCAAAGGAGGAAATAAAACCAGAGGATATCGAATTCGATCCCGATGATCCAACGGATTTCAAGATTTATGACGATCTGCGGAAACCAGAGTCCATTCTTTCCCTAGTCTAGTTCATGATGCATTTGCTTTGAAAATTTTTACATCCTTCAGCCAATTCTGCAACTCTGATTCTAAATTACTTGTACTTAAATGCAACTTTGAACACAACTCCTCATGAATCGCGTAATTATTTCTGATTTTTTCATTGTAGTCCTGAAAATAGTGCATTAATTATTTATCAACAGACAGAAAATTGTTTTCTGTCGTTTTTACCTCGATTTCTTCGTCAGTTGGAATTTTTAGAGCTCCAGGTGGCACGTGTGCAATGCATCTCAATTTTTCTCGAAACTTTTTCAGTGTTCTTCTGACAGATAATGTTCGCATTCTCTCATTTTTACATATTTTTTTGTGAAATTCAGTAATGAGAGACGATTCCACTCCCAGCAGTGACGTCAGTCTGTCGTCCACCTTCGCGTGCTCAGCGGCATTGAATCGATTGATCTAATATTTTACGAATATGAAAATTGTTTTCAGAAGAATCACACTCACTAGCATGTGCTATCATTATTCATCTTCATGGAAAAAATTTAATAGAAATATATTGACAAGTCATACGTCTTAATCTTTTTCTCCTCTGAGCTTTCTAGTCGGAGAAAAATTTTAATGCCAAAGAAATATCTCACTGGAATAAATGTCATAGGAAAACAACAATCTAAATATCAGATACCTACGTCACTTGTAAAATTCCCTTGGATCTCCCGAATCTCTCGTCGAATTTCGTCGATATTCGACGTCAACTGATTCCCGAGTGCCTCGAATTTATTCCGATAATTTTCCTGAATGGCGATAAGAGCAACTTGCATTTCCTTAATAGTGACTTCATGCATCTCTCGTTTTTTCTCTAAAAGGTCTTGCACCACTCGAGATGGCACTGAGACGCTTTCTATTAGATAACAATCGCTCATAAAGATAAGGTCTTCAAAACGTTAACTACTTCAATGAAATTATCCTAAGAAATAAAAACCATTCCTGCCAAGTAAATATAAAATATGAGACCACTAAATCCCAAAAATATCTACATACAATCTAAAAAAATAAAATGACATTTCTTTCTGCTAAGCAACTCGAAAAACAATTCAATTATAAAATAATTGAAACGAATAGATTTTTCCCCTTTTATATTTTTTATACCAAAATCAGTCAGAGGGGAATTGCTTTCTCCGGAATTTTTCCCTTTCCTCTGATCTTCAGCTTCCTCGAGGTCTCCTTCCTCCCCCTCATCCCCGTCGTTCTCTCGTCGCTCCTCAGGAGTGGCCATAGAAACTTTCCGACTCATTTTCCAAATGTTTTATTGAAAAAAATAGGAAAAACACACGAAAAGATAAATAAACAAAAGAGCATTATCTCCTGAAATTAAATCCCTTCCTCCTGCTTTTAGTATCAACGAGCAATTGTGCCTGTCTCTTGAGAACACTTCGAGTGGGCACTTCCTCCTCGTCCTCGGATGGAATAGCCTGGGCAGCTGGGGTCGGTGCGCCGGGGAATCGTGGAAAAAGTGGTCGGGCCTCGGCTTCAACAGCCTTAACAGCCTCCGATGCAGATCCAGTCGATAGAGTTTCGAATTTATCAACAAAAGCCTCTTGAATCCACTGGTCGTACTGGTCGTGGCCGCCCATCATATCGACGAGGCACTCCATCTTCTCCTCCAAGAGCTTCAAGTAACAATACGGATCCTCCAGGTTTTCCGGAGTCACCGAGACGAATGTCTCATTCACATCCTAACCGGGAGCAACAAAAAATTTACACCGAAATATGAAAAAAAAATTGTTCACCCTTGACCAAAGAGACGGACCTAGGATTTTCGAACGAGGTAAGAACTTTTTTTCAAAATTCCATTTCTTCGTCAAGCAACTGCTGATTCCCCATATTCTCATCTTGTAATAGTAATGAAAGGCACCGAAATCGAAAAAATATAGAAATTAAAGAATAAACAATAACAAGTCAATCACCATTGACTTCGAGATCTGACCGAAGATTTTTAGGGGAGCAAAGTGTTTTTTTTTCTCTTCACGAACCATCGTTCATTCTTGATATATTCATATTAATGAGTCTCAGTAACTCACCCTGAGTCTGTCACAAAATTTCCAGAGTATTTTCGCAACCTCGCCGAGGGTCCCCTGGACTCGTTTCGTCCTCACCTCAGCAACATTCTGACGCTTTACCTCTTCCTCGATTCTCTCATTTAGTTTGACGAGCTCTTCGGCGTTTCTGTAATGGAACTCGAATAAATGAGAAATATCTTCCACATCAGAGCGATAAAATTTCAAAAGTTTGGATAATAATGCTGAGTTTTGTTTTGTTTAATCTCGAAGCTGTTTAGAAAAAAATCTAAATCTAGAATTTTTTAAACGTGTCGTCCGTCTGGAGTCCATCAATCAATCAATTATTTGTTTGATAGAGAACTCACTGATCAGCATCTTTCGTCTCCGAAAATTTCTGCATCTCAATTTCCGCGGTGAACTTCTGCCGCTGCTTTTCGAGGATCATCTTCTCATCCTCCGTGACTGTTCTCATCCTCTGGAGGTTTTCCTTGGTAGCGCGTTGTGCCAGAAATCGATCAAGTACCTCATCATTCCTGGTGACTCCAGTTGCGTTCCTCAATTTGGCAAAAGCCTCCTCCAGATAGGTGATTTCATCCTTGGGCGGGTCATCATCCTCAGTCCTCTTGCTATCAGGCTTCTCCCCACCCTCGAAATCATCCTCTCTCGGTGGCAGTCGCACTGCAGGAAAGATCATCCTCTCGAGCCTCTCCAGTTCCAACCTGCGGTCCTCCACCCTCTGTCTATAATCCAGGATTACATTTTCTCGCTCCTTGCTCGTATGCATTGCCTCAATCTCCTGCTTCGTCAGCGTCTCCTTTGTGATGTCCCTCAAGTCCACAGCCTCAGTCTTCACCTCCTATTTGTCCATTTTAATTAATTAATTAATTAAAGAAGAAAATTCTGTAGCGAAGACTGTAGTGAATTTCAGAGAGATGGTGGAATTTCTCTTAGGAATTACTTTATAGAGCAAAAATAAGATCTACAAAAAGGGTTTTCACTAGGAATTCGCTGTTTTATTAGATTTTTAGATACTTCTGGAAAAAATAATTAGTAACAAAATAACTTGGTACCCTTTCGATTTTTATTATTCAATTAATTGGAGCATTGAAGAGTGAAGAATTTACCTGGAGCTGTTTAATCTCAGCATCCTGGTCCTTTATACTCTGCTCCAGGCTTCCCAATTGAGACACATAGAAAGCTGCATCCGACTTTAAACTCGCTCGCACTGATCTATATTTTTTTCGCACAGTGTCAGCTTCCATTTGCATTACACTTATCCTATGCAAATGATTCTCCAGACTTATCACTTTCTGAATAATCCACAGAAAATTCATGAATGAAATCAGTAGCGAAGGGGCAAAGCGGGATGAATTGAATTTTACATTTTGTTAATTATCAATTCATCTAAAAAGACGACGAAATTTTTTTTTCGTAGCTGATTAAATTTTCAACAAAGATCTGCTGTTGTCTCCAAAAAAATTATGTTTTCGATAAACTCATACTTAACAAATTTATAAAATCCGACTCATATCACGTCACTCCATCGCTAGTATAATAAATAAATTAATTAATTAACGAAGTAGTATTTAAATCGGAAAGTTTCAAATTTCCAAAAAATGTCAAGTGTTCCAGTTTGTCCAATAATTTGGTATTGTTCCAGGATATACGCGAGAAAAATAATGACAGATGAATAATAAGATCGTCTTACTATAATTAAACCTTTTTCAACGGATTGTCCAATTTCCTCTCGACGAATTTTTGCACCTTTCCATTAACATACTGCTCATACTCCCCAAGTAGTTTCGTGAGTCTGTCCTGTTGCTGGAGGGAGTCAAAAAATTGATTGGATCGTAATAATAAAACGTGATGGATTTATGATGATTACCTTATCACTCTCGTACTTGACGAGATCGAGTTTTTTTCGCAATCGAATATTGTCCTCATCGACTCGGGCGATGGCTTCTTCCAAGCCGCGTTTCCTCACGCAGGCTGAGGATTCCCGGCTCGCTAAAACCACCTTGTCGGCCGCCTCCTCATTCTAAAGTTATTGCACAGAGAAAAAATAAAAGTCACTAGACTCCAAGATTTTTCATTGAAAAAAACGATGATTTGAATTACGCGAGAACGATGTGACATTTTGTTGGAGTTCTACAGAGAAATCTCATAATAATTAAATTAATACATACATTCTTCGCTTTTGTGTATTTTATCAGGAATGTTTTAATTTCTTTCTTGAGATTAGCGAGTTTGTCTGAGCTCTCGCGTTTCTTGGCATCGCACTCCTCGTAATTCGCCTTTCGTTGTCCCTCTGTGATTATTAAACCGACATTAATTAACAACTCCACTCGATGTGATGATCAACGCTGGTATCAATACGGAGAGAGGGAGGAATAAAATTAGCATCAGGTCTATCAATCTTCATTAATAAAACGATATCCCTCCACAGAAGGGAATTTCGCAGATCCCAAGAAATATTGGATCTTTACAGTTTACAATTTACATTGCTGATGAATTGAATGAGTCCACATAAAATCCTCTTGGGTCTTTTTCTTCTGGCCAGTAGTGGATATTTCATACGAGTCGTTCCAAATATCTGAGTTCCATCATCGACAATTTCAGAAGTCATTTTACTGCGGAAGGATGGAATAAATAGAAGAATATGTGGGTCAATCGACTAGCTGTCTTATTCTTTTTGATGGCCACAATAAACTTCTCGGCATTGAACTTTAAACTTCCTACCCATTAATGATCGATAGTAAAATTTCATTTCTTCTGGAACGATTAGTTACAACATATGGAAATAAATAAATTCAATTGAAAGATTTTATCTGAAAATTATTCACAAAAAAAAGCCATTTTGAACCTAAGGCTTTAAAACTTTTTCCACGTGAATGATTAAAGAACATTGCTCTGATTAATAATTCCACATACAAAAAAATCATTCCATCTCTATTTTATTGCAGGATTTAACCGAGAGTGCGCCATAAATTGCCCCTGAAATTTAGCGAAATGAAATTTTCTCCATATTCAAGAAAGTATAAAAATAAAATTCCTCTCAGATTATTAACTTGACGTAGAAAAAAATGACTCGTTCGTTATTATTACGGAATAGTTAATTATTGAAATTATGAATAATTTGAAGAAAATATTCTCTCTGAAGTCTTGAAATTCTCCCAACAATAAAAATAAAAGCCCAGGTTTTCTCTAATTGAAGGCAATAGAATGCATTTAACTTATCAATAAGAGAAAACTATAAAGCCCGCGCACATGAGACTTCGTGGAATCGTAAAAGTTGACCCCCCTGTGGAAGTCCAGTTAGCGGCTGAATTAGCAACGCTGGTCATTCAGAGAGTGTGTGCAACGAATGGGGTACACAACCGAGACCACGAGACGGCTACAAATGAAAATAGTCAGGATGACAGCTTCGGAGCAAGTGAAATCATCAGCCTGATGAGGACAATTGTCTCGAGGGACTAGCGTAATACTCAGCTTCTTCGAATTTTTCTCATCAAGGGGCCCAATGGAGAAGAAAAATGTGGAGAAGAGTTTGAAACTCACCGGACAGTTGGATTTTCTTTTTTATCTCGATGATCTTTCTGTTCAGTGTCGTGAGTTTACTGTCCTGAGTTGAGGATATTAGAGGATCAGCCATTTTTCCATGTACTGGAGGAATATCGATGTAACAGGGGTCAATCTCCTTGACAACTCAGTTACGATGCAATTTATTCAATTAAAAATTCCATTTTATCATTGTCTCTACTCCATAATTCTCATGATTTAATCATGTGAAGAATAATTGAACGCGAATTTTAAAGGATCGAATGAACCCGTTCGTTTGAGGAGTGTCGAGGATTATCTCAGAATCTAAGATACCAGAGTCTTGGTCAAAAGCTTTTTTGCAGCGTGAAATGAGTATTCCTAGAAACAGTTAGAGCATTTCGTTATCTCTCGTAGATTCAGCGATATTTATAATTAATTGATTCCGATGAATTATTGTTGAATCACGCGACTACCAAGTCCCTGTAACGAAATAAACGAAACACTTATTTCAATAGTGTCAATTTATTCCCCTGACGTACGACGTGGCATTAATTAGCAAAGGCCACTCGTGCAGCATCGCCAGTTTGTTGTTACCCACGATAGGGTTAACGGCTTCATTAATAAGAACTAATGACTCAGACTCGTGTATTCCACTTGGCTGGAACGCAGATCATTCGGTAAAATTCCAAGAGGGATAATGCGCTCGTGTAAAAATATACCCGAGGAAAAATATGACTTGTACTCATTCAACAAATTGTAATGCTGCATTTGTATTCGTTAGTTGAAAGGAGCGAAAATCGTTGTCCTCTAACGATTCATATCGTTTATGAATGATACAGAGAGTTCATTTAGTACTGGTAATCTTGTTATTATTCACACAAGGAATGTAACGAGAAAAGAAAACAGTTTATCCAATACATTTTCTTATTCTGTAATTAGTCTATAATATATCACGAATTTTAAGTGCAGTAGCCAACTGATGATTTACGATACGTCAAATTCAACAATTTTGTTTAATATCAGTTGATAGCCAAGCTATTGATCTCAAAAAGCCATTATCTCAATTATCTCATTTATAAGCCTGAGGGGTTTTCATTCATTTTCATAACCATTTTGATTTAATCCCAAAGTATCCATGAATTTATTTAATTTAGCATAAAAATTCGAAAATTCCACCCCAAATCAGACACCTCATGCTAGCTAATAAGAAGAAAAAATTGCCGGAGCCTCAAAAATACAAAAAAAAAATAGAATAACGTAAAAAATATGAATGTGACAAGAACATTTCAATTTTTTTTATTATAAATGGGTGAAATTAAATGCCCTAATAGCAACAGGACGTTTTCAGATGTTGGTCGAGTGAAAATGATGAAAGGAGGAGAATGCCAAGTTCGTTTAATCCCTCGAACATCTGTTGTAAGCAGCCGTCCACCCCTAAAAATTTTCAAACTCCCCGGTTGTGCAGCGGTGGAAATTCTCCTGTAGCGCGGGATTTTCCCCCATGCACGCGGCACCATTGGCTCGGAGTGACGGCCATTTTGGACGCGCATTGATATCAGCGGCGGGGAGCAGGTGCGCGCGCAGTTCGGCACTACTTTCAGCCCCCCTCAACGAACAATAGAAGTCCAGACGTGTTTGGTGCGCGTTCGTGCTCGTATATGGCTTAACCGCGTGTCGTTTGTTTATTTTCCAACAGTTCATACTCAACCCTCAACTACCGAGTGCGTGATGATCGTAAACAATCGAGTGATAGTGAGTTAGAATAATTGAATATCGAGTAATTGACCGGAGTAAACCGAATAAAACAGAATAAATCGTGAGGGACGGTGTGATATCCCGTTGAGTCGTGTGATTTTGCTTTTGGATACTGTTGTTTATTTCTACCGAATGTTGACGGAGTTTTGGTCAGATGAGGGATAGTGAGGTAGTTGCCCGTTGCCACGGTGTACCCGGGGCTATGTGTGTGTGAAAATAAATCATTTTTATTGTGATTTTTGTGGATAAATACATCGAAATGCAGCGACGTTTACATTTGGATTACGCGCTGTGTGCGAGCGTCGTCATCATCGTCTTGGTTCTGCCGGTTTTTGGTGAGTGTTTTATTCTTTATTGTCCCTATTTGGGTGTTATTGACTTGAAAAAATGTTTCATTATTGTGAATTGAATGATTCGAACGGTGAAAAGACGCTGCTGCTAGGCAACAGGTCAAACAACGACGCTCAGCGCCGGCGCATTCGTCGGATTTTTTTCCCTCGATGACGCTTGCGCTGCGTCTTGTTTAATTCGAAAAAAAGCATTATCTCGTTATTTTCAACGTATTGGGGCATATCGAGGTATTTTTTTGGGTGTTTTTGGTGGGTCTCGGAGGCTGGAGCTGCATTAGTATTCCCCTGTTGCGTCCGACATTGTTTGGTGAGGTCTTTTCTGAAAACATTGGCCACCGGCACCACTTCGCTTCCATTCCATTTTGTAGTCGCTATATGTACCATGAGTTTTCGTCCTGCGTTCACCCAATTTTATATCGATTTTTCAAGGAATCTTTCACGAGGTTTGGGAGCTTCTGTTATTCGACCAGGTTCGAGATTCGTGGAATATTGGGTTAAAGGTTTTTTTTAATTTTGGATTCATGTTGAGAACTGTCGATTCGACTTGGCGTTGTTAAGGAACTTCTTGTAGATGATGAAATTTCCGATGAAAGAGCTTCTTCGATATTTTATCCTGGAGTCGATAGGTTTTTAGGTCTTTTTAGCATTTTGCTTTTTAGCTCTGTATTCTGCGAATTTTTAAATGTTTTTTCTTGGAGTTTCTTGCGTGCTTTGATGCTTTTGGAGCACAAAATCTTGCTTCTCAAGTTCAATAACAAAGATTGAGTGACATGAGTCAAATTAAATATTACAAAAATTCTTAATTATCGATTTATCTCAAAAACTGTCAATCCAAGATGGAGACGTTAGAGGACTTTTTCACAGCTGATCAGATTTCTTACAAAAAGGAAGATCCTTCCTTTGAAATTCCCTTCTACAACGAGCAGTTGTTGAAATCACCTTATTATTTTGCAACTGATTTTTTTTCGACACAACGTTCCCCTTTTAGATAGATTTTCCTTGAAAGTTGACAATTTAAAATAGGACAATGCCGAAATAACTTTTTTCAACTGATTAAATTTTCGCCTGTTGATATTTCCTCTCAATAGTTATCGAAATTCCGATTGTATTTAACGTCACTGTTATGCTGGACTCATTGGGCTTTGAAACTTCATTGGGAATTTTATTATTTAATTTATTAAAGTGAATGAATGAAGTCCTGGGAAGATTCCTGGTCATCTGAGCTACACGTGACTGAAGGAAGGGCATTGGTATTGCCAGTGGCTCTCAAAGCTGTCAATTTTCCCCATCGAAAATGGTTGACGCTCACTGAGGGACAGGTGTCCAACCCCTCTTTCCAGGAAGCCAGCCTTTTCCCCATAACGCGTTTACAAATGCCAGAGAAACTCGTAGGTCCTTTTTTCAAACCGGATGCCGAAAAATTTTTCGTTATCTCGGTTTTTGTTTAACTAAATATGTGAATTCAATGGGAATAGGGAGATACTCTCGGTG